TTGTTTTTGAAAATTTAAAATTGGATTATAAATTCTGTGGTTTAAAATTCAAAATAATATTTTACGATTGAATATTACTTATCAGGTCGTATACGGTATGCAGTATAATCGAAGATTGTGGTTATTGTTACGGCTGTTATTGATAGTACTATTTACATTCTACAACCGCCGAGGTTACCCGTGGCCGAACGGCGAACGCTCGAAAAACATGGTTTTTGGGAAGAACATGATGATCTAGCCCTCAAGATAAAACGTTGCAGTGAATCCAAAATAGTTAAACCACATGCTATTTTATACACAAAATTATGATTTTTATTTCATTTTATTTTTTATAATTTTTCTATTTGTATTTTTTTTTACATGTCAAGTGTATTTTATATTATTTTTTTTATTAATAACTATTAAAAAAAAAAGGTTATCTGTATATTTGCAATTAATATGGACAAATCAAATGAGTTAATTATATTATATTACTCATAAAATGTAGTCTATAAATATAAGTTTACTATTCTCTATACAGTTTTATTTATTTATTTTTTTTAATGAACAATTGAACCTCAATTATAATTTATAGTAAAATATATAGGCCATATTATACTGCAGAAACATTTTAAAAACAACATATTGGATTCAAATTGCTGATAATCCAATTTATTATATGTTTAGGATATGTGTTCACACTTTTTAGAATAAAAGAGTAAAGGAGAAAGTACTAATTAAGCAACTAATAATAATTAATTAATACTTTGATGATATAATTTTTGATTTGGTTATTTATTATAATAATGATATAGAATTATGTATACGTAATATATGTAACGTATATTATGTAATAGTATAATATAGACTTATTAAAAAAATTTCAAATCAATATTCAACAAAGTCCGACAAGTGTATTTAAACGTTGTTGGAACGATTTGAATAATATATTAATGCCTTGTGTGAATTTTATAGTACATCATTTAACTTGGAGTAAATTAAAAGAGGGCACCAACAAACGCCAAATTCCAACAATGTAGCATTACAAAAAAACTTTGGGATGGTTAAGAAGGGGGCTCCAACAATTTCCAACAAGTTTCCAACAGTGTCCAACAAGTGTATTTGAACAATGTTGGATGGTTTTTGAACGGTTACAACATACATGTAATGCTAAGTGTGAACTTGGCATTACAAAATTAAATGAGCGATGGTTGAAGTGGGGGGTTCCAACGAATTCCAACACGTTTTAAACAATGTCCAACAAGTGTATTTGAACATTGTTGGATGGTTTTTGAACGGTTACATCATACATGTAATGCTAAGTGTGAAGTTGGCATTACAACGTAAAAGGTGGGATAGTCAAAAAGGGGGGCTCCAACAAATTCCAACAAGTTTCCAACAATGTCCAACAAGTGTATTTGAACATTGTTGGAAGGTTTTTGAAAGGTTACAACATACATGTAATGCTAAGTGTGAACTTGGCATTACAAAATGAAATGAGCGATGGTTGAAGTGGGGGGTTCCAACAAATTCCAACAAGTTTCCAACAATGTCCAACAAGTGTATTTGAACATTGTTGGATGGTTTTTGAACGGTTACAACATACATGTAATGCTAAGTGTGAACTTGGCATTACAAAATAAAAAGTGGGATAGTCAAAAGGGGGGGCTCCAACAAATTCCAACAAGTTTCCAACAATGTCCAACAAGTCTATCTAAACATTGTTGGACATATTTTGGAAAGTTCTGCTATCAATGTAATGCCAACTTCACGCCACTACATAAAAGAGTTTAAAAAAAAAATTAAAAAATTAAATACTCATGATACAACAATTAAATACCAACAGTTTTTATTATACAATTTTAAATAATAGGTAGGTATATAGGTACACATACAAAATTTATATATTTTTTTGAAATATGTTTTTATGATAAATAATAATTAATATAAACTATCATGCAAGTATATAAGATAATTATAAAATAACAATAATGAATACTTAATGTTAGGTGGCTCTTTGATTTATTTATCTAGTCGTCAGCAAACACATCTATATATTATAGTAGGTATATTTAATATAAAAAATCTATAGATGACCAGAGTACTTCAATATGTTTATTAAAATGTTTTCCTGTGTGCACCACTTAATTTATTAGTAGCTACCTATAGTGAATCTGTGAATTTCCTAATTCAATAACTTTATAGATTAAGTTTAATTCTTATTTCTAAGTTTGACACTTGTAAATTATATAAAATACAAACCACAACAGTCGACAAATCACGTGGCTACTGCTGAAAATATTTTATATTATTAAATATATACCTTATTTAAGATCGAATTCTATTAAGCGTCAATAGTTAAATAGGTATGTATATATTATATATAAATATAAATCTTTACTTTTATAGTGTATAATTGTGTATATATATGTACCTATACTATAAAGTTTCATCGCATATTATATATGATACCTATGGGTATAGCCGTATAGGTAAAAATAAATCTTATAAATTATCAATTATAATAGTTATGTTGCAGTAATATAACCTATAAATGGCTAGGTAATCAAAACGCAAAAGGTATTTATAATATTGTTTTATCAGTACCAAGTATTCAAATGGTACCTATTCCGCTAATTCCAGGAAATTTTTATAATTTTTTTATCATGTTAGCAGACTACAAACTTACAAAAATAAACATAATTTTATTCAGCCGTGCAATAAATATATTAAACAATTCATTAACTATTACAATCCTATTACTTATGTACTTTTACATACGAGTAGATAGTATAATATAATATTAACACAAAAATATATAAGTAGATACATAAATTGTTTAAGCTTATTAGTTTATATGATGAGTAGCAACTTTTGTTATCTATATTGTCTATCAGTCTATATCTAACCATGTTAAATTGATACTGTTGCAATAAACTTTTATTAATTAAAATAATATTATTCCTATGAAAAAAGAAGAATTTCTGACGAAGCTTAAATAGTATTAAGTCCAAGCTTAAGCCTAGTCCAAAATCCAGCACTGACTATTCCGTCATTAATAACTGGTGAGACAAATGCAGTTATGCGTTAAAAATGTAAAATTAGCTTTTCTATAATTTTAAATACCTATAGTAATATAATTTATTAAACTTTATTTCTTTATTATACCTACAGATTTTTCCATGGAACACATTTTTAGATATCCACAACAAATCATTATAATAATAATATGTTTGTTGGCATTTCATAGTTAATTTCAAATTCATAGTTTTATGAATAATAGAAATATATTTTTTTCCGATCGCATAGCATATTATAGTATATGAACGACATTTGCGAAATACACTTGAGTCCTATGGACACTTGTCGTGGTATAATGAAAATGCACGCACGCTCACACACACGCACACACACACATATAGATCGGTTTACGTTCTAAAATATATAATGTATTCATCAAGCAGGGCTCTCCTTCGTTTTCTGCTGCAGTACACCCCAAGCGCATAGCATAAGGCCACTCGACTTTTAGACCACATGCGCATACGATATAATAATATAATATATTATACATATATACATACACCATACGCGCTCCGGGTTTACATTTTATTGTTTTTTAATTTCTTTCTCTCGCACTCCCCAAATTTCGTCGTCCAGTTTCACCGACCATTCTCCTCCCCACTCTTCCCACCCGCTTGCACCCCCAGGCGGTCGGACAACATCTCTCGCTCGGCTGTAGCGGTACGCTATATATATATATATATATATAACAATATAGTGCACGCACATACTGCACAGTAGCGGTCAGGCCGCAGCTACGGTGGGTGGGTGGGTGATTGGGAAACACACGCATACCAAAGCGCACTCGCTAACCCACTCACTCACACGAAAATAATAATAATAATAATAATAATATAATATTATTTAAAACGATGCGAACCGTATAGTGACCGCGCAGGGCATATGCGCCGAGCCGCCCCCGGTGAGCCGGGATTGGTCTGGCCCGGTCCCGCCCCCGAATACACGCCACCGGGATCTCCGAGTCCTCGTACATAATCGCGAGCAGCACGTGCGCCGCGGGGATGAGTGTATCGCCGGCGTTCGAAACGGTCGCAAGTGGATTGATGCCGTTTGCCTTTGCGGAATAACCAACCTGTCCGGATTCGTGGATGAATACAGGTACGAAACGATATATTATAATAATTTTAGCTGTATTATAAGATAAGTGGTTATAGGTACCTATATATTATTATGTTGTAATAATATCTATGCATAATATATTATACATTGTATTATTATAATAAACCTACTAAGGTGCCTGAACGTTTACGTCGTGATAGCATATCGACAGTATACAATAAAAGTGGTGTCATAGATTCGATATTCATCGTCGGCATATTATTTTACGATCATTTCTATATCGTGACGTATTTTTTGATAACGACTGCATTGACGATAGTATTATGTACCATATTTTATCCTATACAGTACTTATACCGAGCATCGAAATGGTCAACAAATTATAATAATAATATAGGTAGATATTAATTAGTGTTAAGTACGATAATTAGAGGATCCTTAAGTCTGCATAGGATTAATAGTCTATAACATTTATTAAAAGTCAAATTAATAAATTATAATGTGTTTGAATAATTGTTCCAGAATTCGTAAACTATTATACAATAATACACACATATAGTACATATTCTACTAATATAATGTACATTGTACATAAATCATTTTATTATTTTAATAAGCAATGTACTGAAAACTAATACAAAATAATCACATTTTAAAATAAATGTTTACAGTTAAAGGTAGTCTTTTAATAAACAATATCAATACTCTTTTTTTTTCTATCACAATCGCACAATTAAAATTAAAACAACAAAAATTTACTTACAAATTAGTAATTACATAATATGATCAAATTGTTTTAAAAGGTAGGATTTTTCTCAAACAAAATTTTATATTTAAACAATTTCATTTAAATTATGGCCACCACAAATTATGATTTTATATTAGGCTACATTTTCGAAAGTTTTATTATCATGGCCGTTTTTTTCTTCAATTTTAATTTTGGCCCATGGTTGTCGTTCTCCTGAAGCAAATATGCCATAGAATACGGCTCCAAACATATATATACCACTAGAAATTAAAAACACCCATTGCCATTCTTCTGCGCTCTAAAAATGTAATAATTAATAATTAAATTAGTTTCTGAATCAAATAAAACTTAAAAGTATAGAAACACTAACTTTGTTTTGCACAATCACACCGGCCAACATAGGACTCACAATACCAGGTATAGTTGCAAACGTGTTGGAGATTCCCAACAAAATACTGGCGTATTGAGGTGCTATATCCAATGGGTTAATGCTGTAAAATGAAATTTATTTAAGTCAGATTTAAGTGACTTTTCCAAACTAAAAAAAAATAGTAATAATAATTACCTGAATCCGGACCAAGCAAATGCTCCAAGACCCACTGCCAATGTTAAACAAAATATAGATCCAATTTCAGATCTAGAATTCGATGCTAAATACATGAATATAGTTTGGCTCACAAAAGCACCACAGTTGAAAACCTTTCTCACCTATGAAAGTAATTCTAAATTTATATACTGCAGCAGTTATATAAGACGTATATATATACATACTTGTGTAGTAGTGAGTATTTCATTTTTCCGAAGCCAGTCCACAAAGAACCCACTAAACTGGAGAATAATGGACATGACGAGATATGGTAGAGCTGACAGTAAACTTCCTTTTCCAATGTTAAACTTTAGTACATCTGTAGACCAAAAAATAAAAATAAATGAATTATTGAATTATTTTTTTGGTTGGAATTGTATAGTTACCGTTCATGTAGCTTGGTAATTGCGTAAGTAACGTGTAGAATCCCCAGTTTTCACAAAAATGGGCGCATGTTATAGCCCAAACCGGCATTGATGTTAATATATCTTTCCAGGGGTAGTCTACAAAGCTGACTATAAAAAAAAATAATAATATTTATGATGTACACGAAAGATGTCGAAACAACGCATTTACTTTTAGTGTCATCCGTAGGACCTATTGAATCCACAATGTACTTGAGCTCTTCTTTCGTAATGCGTTTGTCTTCTACTGGAGATTCGGTGATACACGTTAACCAAACCACACACCAAATTATAGCTACACAACCTATAAACACAAGAAATAATAGGATGTTATTGTGTTACAACCGTAGGGGGACTGGAGGACAGTGTGAGGGGAAGGATTCACATATATTTGGATAATGTAGCCAAAATCACACGTTACAATTTTTTGCCAATACGTATTAATGTATTATATGTGTGTTTAATGATATTTTAACAAAATAAATGTGTACCCGTAGGATATTATAATATATAGGTACATACAAACGACTATTGAACTTTTAAATTATTAAGTTATTATTTCTTAAATTACGTCACAACACTAAAATCAAGTTTGTTTAGATTTATAGTATGTCATTATCTAAGAAATATTATGGTGTGGGTCTCACATTTTAACTCTAATTATTCAATGAGACGGGCGTTTGACTATATGCGTGTGACATACACCCGAAGCCTGAACGGCGGAGTATGTTTACGTGTAAAAGTGACTAGATTAATACAACGATTTAAATCGTTAAACATAATATTTTTTTTATTTTTTTTTATGTAGCCTTAAGTGTTATATTGTGTTTATGATACTGGTGTGATTATAATTTTGATAAACTTTAGAGTTTTTTTTTTATAGTAGATAAAATTATTATAATACATTTCGTAAAATATGTCTTATATGGCAATACTACGCGAGTCATGAACTCAATAATTTTACTTAGTTATAATTTATAATATGTATGCAACAACAAGATATATTACATTTTAAATCACACTACCGTATTGAGCACATAAATATACTTAGGATTATTAAAAAAACATTCGGAAATACTATTGATATAAAGTTATTAAAATCATTATGTAAATCAAATTACTTTTACACGTACACCATGGGAGGCTGCTCACTCGTCGGCTATATGACGTCAAGCGGCTTTTCATAAACTCTCATTATATTTTTTTTTTTTAACTTCAGATTTTTACCGAAAAGTTTTTCATTATTTGAACTACAATAACACACAAATAAACTTAAAATTAAAAAAAAAGTTTAGTGTTGTGACGTCTGGCTCACTATTATATTTTTGACGAAATAAATATATAATTATTATTCAAACATATACCTGGTACATAAAACGTAGATGGCCAACCGTATTTTTCGGCTAACCAACCGCACATCGGGTATCCGATGACTGTGCCCACAAAACTGCCGGAAAATGCAAACGATCCCAGTCGGGTGCGTTCCGCGGGCGGCGCCCATCTTGACCACACGGCATGTATGCCAGGATATACGACTCCCTACAACAATATATAGTTTGAGTTTCAATATTGTTGGTGATATTTAGCGGGTACAGCGGATCGCGTATACATTTATGTATATACATACCTCGAACACTCCCTCGATGACTCTGAGAACGATGACTAGATAAACGGAATATCTGGCAGCCAACGGGGTGAGGATCGTTAGGATCGCTGTGCTAAAAACTCCGTAACCGATCAATTTCACGCCCCCTATCTTTGCGCCTAGCAGACCACCGATAAGTTGCGTAGAAATGTATCCATAAAAGAACGAACTCAAAATCGCGCCACGAAGTTCTGGGCCCCAGTCGAATTCGCTCGTCTGCAGTCAAAACATATTACACTTTATGATATACAATTAATATATATTATAATAATCAATTTGAAAATAATATCTTCGGGATATTATTAGACAACATAACATTTATAATATTCCTTTCAGCTCGGTTTGATTAAACGTTTATTTAATATTTATATCGTGAACCTATAACTAATAAATACCTGAGATTATGTCCGATGAAAATGGATTTGGTCCACTTATACAGAACTAAGTGGACACACTACGACCATTGACGTATATATATTTATATCGGCGGGAATAATTATATTGTTAATGTTACATAGTTGATAAAATGTCCACACCACTCGACTTTCATTTAGAGCGCGAGATATATTATCTCAGACGACACTAAAGTATACAACAGTAAAATATGCGAGAAAAGAAAGTAGAAGGGCACCTATACATGCTAGTGTTTGCGGTCGTATATACCATACCTCAACACGTTTTACTCTGCAGTCGGTATATTATAATCAGAGTGAAAAATAATTGCAAATTGCAAATGCAATTTTATAAAATAAATAATGGCATAGTTTGATATAGTCTTACAAGTATTATAGTGGTTTTTCTTGTCCATATAATATATTATATGAAACGTATTGTGTATGTACATGGACTGACCTCAAATTAATGATAACATTTCTCGATTTTACTTTCATTTCCCGAGGCGTTCTCGTGATAATAATATGTACATATATTATGTTGTATATTTGAAACTATTAACACACATGTTTGTAAAGCGATTGTATGGAGACAAAAATGCTGTAAGATAAAAGAAAAAAGTTTCAAACAAACTCGAAGAGTTCATTTATACTTTCTTCGATCGACACACACGCGAGATATGTACGATTCGCATACACCGGCGTTTTGCGTATAAAAAACGGACTCATTGGGAACCTAATAGTTTCATATGTCGATAATACTACAACCGGCAGAAAAATTCACATTAAACTACAACTCACCCTCGAATCCGAGGACGACGTCATGGCTACGATTCCGACGCTCAAGTTCACTCGAAGGGTGTAGACGTTGAAGAAACCCAGAAATGCCAGGAACGCGACCAAGTTCCTGCGCTGTTTCCAAAACGGCGGTTGGCCATCGCTGTGGGAAATACAAAAATACAACCACTCTTATTATACATTGACGAACACTTTAAAATGTTGTATTATATATTTTATGTTTTTGTGCGGTCTCTTTGCTGTCAGTGACCGTGAACAGTGACCGCGAAACGTATAACAACATAGTATGTACCTAAGGTTTTCGGGTGGCCGGTCCATGGCTAACTGAACGTGCTCTGTAGCAGTGGCACGAACGACTGCTGTGGGTACATTAGAATGTTACTACCACTTCCTCGATCGGCGATTTAGTTGTTAATAGTTCGGCGGCGTCTAGGTTCTACCTCTCTAACCGTCTAGGTAGGTCCTATGTATTGGAACATAGGTATGGTATCAATCGAGTGAGGTGTATATATAATATTATACACGTCCTGGCGCGTATTGATATGGTTTTATTGTACTTACGTAACACGTTTGGCGTAAAATTAAAATATTAACTGAAGAAAAGTTACCCATGTGCCAAGGAATACAATTTTTACGATATTATAATAGGTAGGTATACCTATTTAAAAAATCATTCACAATTATTTCTTAAGACCGATAATGTATACCTTAACTTATTATAATACTGTTACCAGGTAAAACTACTGTAGAGTAATAACTAAAGAGTAAAGAGGGATATTAAAAAAAATTGAATATAAAATAATAAGAATAAAAGAATATTCAAAGAAACTAGTGTGAGTTGTGTTTAGCTGGTCTGCGGGGCCATTAATTATAGTTGATATTATAAACCACCACTATGATTTTATCAATTTTAATCATATAATGTTGTACATTAATACAACTATTAATTTGAGCAGTTAATTGGTATTTATTAAATTAATTATAGAAAAATAAATAGAAAATGAATAAATGGGATTTTCGATTTTCTTTTTTAGGCAAGCTTAAAAAGCCCCGAAGTTTGAAGATATAAATATTTATATATGCATATGTCGATTTACATAGATTTAATGAATTTATTTAACTTGTACCTATATTTATATTTTTAACAACATAAATTAATAATAATATTACTAATAAAAATATTTTTCTGATATATATAGCGTAGTCAAAATATTTTGGTTTTAATGCATATTTTAAGGTTTTTAAGTGATATTTTAAGTGATTATATTTTAAAGTTAAAATCACCTAAACATTTATTCAGGGCATAAATAAATGCATATTTTAAGGTTTTTAAGTGCATGAAATCCCTAGCCCTTATAATAAGCTATCGCCAATTCGGCTGGTATTATTATAGCTTATAGGTACCTATAATTGAATATCAGATGTTACGCCTAGATGGGATGTTGAAAAGAAAACAATCTGCGTATCATTCGGTCTATGATATATTTTATCAAACAAAAGTGTTATTTGTCATAATCGTCTATCCCTTTTTGATCAACAAGTGGTCAGTTTCTCGATGCTCAACGTACCGTATATAGGACATTATTGTTTCATACTGCGGTTTAAGATTGAATTCATTGTCTAAAATCACTCACACATATATATTATATGGAACATTCGCAGTGGTATTTTAAAGTAATGGTGCGTTTCAAAGTATAATAAAATATAAATCAGTGCCTAACATTTTTGTATTTTGCTACTGACAATTTTTCATTTATTACTGAATCCCGGAAAATTGATTTTACACAATTAGTTGAATAGCAATAATAGCTTATACATAAACATATACCTATAAATATAAATGTTGTGTATAATACTTTAATATTGCTAAAATGCCTTAATAATTACTTGTATTTAAATATATATTAAATGTACTTGATTTACTTTTAGTCGTTTACATTACCATGGTTGTGTTATTTTAACTGCAATGAGAATACAAAAGTTTGGGTGGAGATTGATTACCGGCTGTGAATTTAATGATTTTGAAAATCGATAGATTTTATTCTGATTTCTGATTTAAAATTAAGCGAGATACTAAATTTGTTTCGAGACATTACCATTGCATATTTTGCACGTAGTTTGTATAGGTACCTAAATATTTTTATTATATATTTGGAGAAAAAATAATGGTTTTGGAAAAATGTAATGCCTGGATAAATTATGATATTTTAATCTAAAAAGCTTATTTAGCATAAATTACAAAAAAGTTTTTTTTAATTAAGCTTATATTATACATTTTTTTGTAATATAAATTTGCTTATGTAAATTTATTAATATTTAAGCTTGCTTTTTAATATTTATTAGTATATTACCTTTAAACCCACATACATAATTGCACAAATTTTGGAATTTTTAATGTATATGTTCGAATATTTTGTAGTGTTTTAGTGTATCAAATTCACAGACTGAATGGACACTGATAGGCAAAACCATATCAAATTTCACTATAGTTTAGATAAAACATTAAAATTTAACCGTGCTTATCACGTAATTTGATTTATTGTATTATCATACTAATATTGTTCATCATTCTTCAATTCACTAACGCCAACCGAGTTACGTATAATTCTATTTTCTATGGTGAAAGTTAAAACAATTTCAATTTGCTATAAATATTAAATATGAAAAACAATTATTTTAATAATCCGTTAAATTGTAGTACACAATAAACTGGGTATAATATATTTGGTATATTTGGTGTATTCCATATTTTCTACCGCACACCGTATGTGATACACTGATATGTACTACTTTAAAGTACAACAGTTTAGACTATTTGAAGTATTTTATGCCTTGTATTAAAAATCTATATACACAACATACATCATGTATATACTACTTTATTGCCCATTATTAAATTCATAAACATATTACTTTAAAGGTTAGGTTCAATGTTCATGTCATAATTATGTTCTATGGCAATTAAACACCTGTTGTGTCACATTACGCTATAGTTGCCTAATTCAAATGATTTATTGTTGGCAATATGCTTATATATTATAACTAAGGAAATTGTAGTCGATAAAATGTTATCTATTAAATCGTACTAAAAAATAATAATTACCTATTATTTGTTTGTTTATGGTATGTAAAAGAGAAACTAGAATTAAATAATTATTAAACACGTTACCTCATTAAAATAATTGTAATTTTGTATAAATCACAGAGATCTATCAAAGTCTAACAAACCCGTTACCTTTAATGGACACAAACTATAAACCATTTATTATTTGACTCTCAAATGATTATAGGTAATAATTAATAGTTAATTTAAGTATTTAACGTAGGTTTATCAATCAGAATTAATTTCCATCCTAATTATACTTAAAAACACATACACAAATTAATATAATATATACCCAAACGCATAGTTAAACCTGGATTTAATAGATAAAACAATATGCCTAATAATATTATGTAACCACAATGTAATATAAAATATATAACCTTAAATTACAATGTATATAAAATATGATTATCATAATTGCTTGATAACAGTACAATATTATGATATATTTTATGTAATCCACTGCACACAGTGTGTTTAATAATAATATTAATTCAACTTACCTACCGGCTACCGTATTAAAAATAAGTAATAACAATATAAATATAATATAATACATATCCATGCTCACAAACCACCATCGCTCAGAATCGTTTTTCGTATACAATGATACCTATTATATCGTTGAATTCAAATTTAATACCATCCATTATACAGTGACCCACTTGAAACCTTCTGTACAGCAGAGCGACATTCACATACCCACCTTCTTAATATGTTTTGAATTCTGAAGTGCTTATTTTCATTGTATCTATAAATTATGTTATTCAATTTTGTAAATAATTTTGTTATCTATTATTAAAATGCCAAAAAAAAAAAAAAAAACAATATACTACTGTAACATTAAGTTTAGATGACTATATAATTGGCAGGAAAACTTTCAACATTTTTTTACTTTTTTGTATTACAACATACATTTTTAATTTTATATTCTGTAGTAGAATATTTTTCTGAGAATTCCAAACCAGTAGTTAAATTAGTAATTAACTCATAAATTCATAAGTATTCAATAAGTTTAGAGAGGAGTTGTTGACCAACATTTTGCGGGACAGAGCCACTCAACTCCGATTATTAAAAGTACTTAAAATACCTATAAGTTATATAAGTTATAACTAATTTACAATTATTAAATACTCGTTTGAAATTTGATTTTTAAGTATCGAAATCTTCAGAAAAATATTATTATTTGGAATATTAAATAAAAATGTGTGTTATCCTTCAAAAAATTATAAAACTTACTAAATTATATCGATACAAAATAGTAAAAATAAATTGGTGTAATAAATTAAATTAATTTAAAAAAATGTTTATAACTTTATCGATATGAATGATATGAATGTTCTCTGAATCACTCAATACCTATAGTGTATAAACTATAATATAGTTATATGTTATACAATTCTAACGGTAAACTAAAATCATGACTGTCATGAGATAAATCTTTGTCTACTGACTATTTTATGTTTTGTCGTCACGGCCACGTCTCAAACTGATGTAAATTTTAAATCCAACCTTGGTGTAAAACACTAATCACGAGTCACGACAAATATTATATTATATTATAATAATTTGTTTGGTATTCGTGTAATACATTTTTGAAGTGTGTTTTCCAAAATTCCATAAAATATGTGAAATATGTATAAATATAACCACTATTATAAGTACATAATATGCAATAATAGCCAAATTGTAAATATATGTAAGTACTATGTTATACGTCATTATCTGTTTAATTTAAAATCACCGTGGATACTAATAAGCAGCTGTGGGTGATATTTAGGTTTAAGTAATCTCATATTATAGTGACTAAATGGCCATAACGTGTGTTTAAGTTGTGCGAAATAAATCATCTATTGATATATTCTTAGAGCGAATATGAGATCAAAAGTAGGTATAATAATGTATGATATATTATTACCATATTCTTATAAAAAAAATTAGTGCATGTTTTACAATTGATGAAAATGCATTCTACATACGAATATATCATACGATTTTCATCCAAACTTTTGGGTAAAAGTTTTAAAACACGAAAGTATTCAAAATAACCCACTCACAAACCCGCAATGTCGTTAAACCAATATAAAATAAGTTAGAACAACTTCGTTTATCTTCTCAGAATCTAATTTAGTACATGTGCCTACCTATTATATGGTTAAAAAGATATGAACAATTATTTGTGTTTACAAAATTGTTCAAATAAATAATATGTCTACAGATAATTATAATAGTAATATAATACGTTTAATATGTATACATCTTATCGGCATACTATTATTGTATTTTATTGTCAAATACATTCACCTGATACATTTAAATTGTTATTTTTTTCGAACATGACGTGTACCTACGAAGAATAATGTTAAGTTTGTCGTCAAGTTATTGTTTCAATCGTTACAAATACGCGAGACATCCTTCCGGTCTTCTCCCTGTGTACAATCATGATAATATTATTACACTATTACACAAAGCAACACTGAGGGGTTACAAAGTAATTGAATACGCCGCACGCCAATGTCGTTACATTATAATTCCATCACCTGAATAAGGGCTAACGACATTTTTCATCATCGGCTTCTACAACGGTTGCAGCACGTTTTCGTCGTCGACACATATATATTATAATAATGATAATGTTCCGTTAAACGATTAGAATCTAAAAAAAGTATTTTCAATGTACAGGTCACATTGTTACAATATCATAGTAGACAATGGTTAGGTATTGTATAAATGTACACTAAACAATAATAATTGCACAGCTCCTATGCTGTTCTAGTGTTCTCTCTTCTATTCTTTCTTTGCAGCTTCGTGTAAATATGTGTGGAGATATAGTTTATAATATAGAGTCAGTACTTATTATGTTTTTGTGTCTGACTATTTTAATAGTGAAAGTCAAATGGATTTTGTTTAAGTACAATTTGAATCAACAAGGGAATTGAAACCAATGATCATGATGCACTTTTTTACATGTATACAATTATAAAATAGTTGATCTTCTTCTTTTTCGTCAGTTTTTGGTACCTCTCCAATTATATCCACCTTCCACAGTTTAACATATTTTCTTTTATGATATATTTATTTAAAAAGTCTTCCCAGCGCAACTGCAGTCTTCTTATAGTGGTCACTTACGGTAGGGTTCTCTTCAATGCTTGGTCTTGCTAACAATCCGGTAATGACCCTGGAGCCAGAAGTTCCTTAAGATTTATTTTATCATATTATCTGGCCTTTGAAAAGGTTCTTTGAAATTATGTATTTTACTGCAAACTAAATGTCGAATAATGTAATCACAAATTCCGTATATTTTGCTCTCAAATATATTTACTTCCTCCAGTTTTCTTACTGGAGCCACGTCTGTAAAGTTTATAGAATTGTTGGACGTGTCAAGATCATGATAAACATATTTCTATTGCCTACACTCACGGGTTATTGATGTGGATCTTGAGTTCAGTATTTTTCCAAGCCTGACACCCGTTGGTCTTTTACGTATTATTACCAGGTACTTGCCGATACTTTCTATTCCGGCATTTTATCAGTCATAGTCATGAATATAATTAATTGAATTTGGCCAGATTAGCTGCAAATGCAATATATCAATTACGTGTTGTGAATTAGCCTTTACGAGTATATAACATACCAAAAACCATAATCTCATACGTCAACTCGTGGTTTCAGATTACAACCAGTTTAGCAGAATGACAATGGACGTCCATCAGCACAGAAACGTGACGACGGCCGCGTCCTCGTCGCCGCCGTCGCGGTACTCACCGCCAGTGGCCACCGGAATTGCGCAACCGGTGCAGACTTCGTTGCCCACGGCCGTGGTCGCTCTGCACCAGCGGCCACAGAAGCGGAGTTTCGACGTGGCGTTCCTAATGGCACCAGACGACTTGAGCAAGCGTAGACCACGGCCAATGCAGGCGGCTCAGCCCGTCGCCCGGTCAGCGTTCACCAAAGTGTCGCCGGACCCGCCGTCATCACTGTCACCGGCCTCGTCTCCGGCCACGCCGCCACCTGCGGATTTTGCTGCCTACATGCACCATAGCCAGTTGCACCACCAACAGCATCACAACCAGCAGCAGCAACAGCTCCTCCCACATCACCTTCAGCCGCAGCAAGAGTGCAGTCTCAGCCCACCCCTGCCACCGGTCACGGCTCACTTTATGTCACCGTTTCCACTTGGCTTCCGGTCACCGTTCGCGCTGATGATGCCACCACGGCCTCAACCCAACGCGATCGGCTGCAAAGACTACCCGTCGCCGCTCCAACCACCACCTCCGTCACACCACCACCATCAGCAGCAGCAGCAGCAGCAGCAACAGCAGCAACAGCACCATCATCACCATCAGCTACAGTCACTTTCGTCGCCGTCGCCGCTACAGTTCGGTCAGGCGGCGGCTGCAGCAGCGGCTGTGGCGGCTCTCCCAGCCATGCTGTTGCCAGCGTCCATCGCCGCGGCAGCGCTCACGTTACCGTCGCAGAACGTGTGCGCCAAGTGTAACGTTAGCTTCCGCATGACGTCTGATCTGGTGTACCACATGCGGTCGCACCACAAGGGTGGCGACGGAAGTGGCGGCGTCGGCGCCGGCAGTGGTGTAGGCGGCGGTGTTGGTGGCGGGGTGGGCGTGGGAGGTACGGGCGTTGGCGTGGACGCCAAGAAGCGACGGGACATGGACAAGCTCCGGTGTCCGGTATGCGACGAGAGCTTCCGGGAACGGCACCACCTGACGCGGCACATGACCGCGCATCAGGACAAGGAGGGTGACCGGCTCGATGACGAAGACGACGCGCATTTGCAGCAACAGCACCACCAGCCTCACCAGCACCAAGGGGCCAAATGACGTAAGGCGGCCGCGGGCGGACGGAGGCGCAATGCCTCGTACTCACGCTTCGCGGAAGACCATCGCGTTTAGACGGTCCCTCCTCTCCTCGCCACTCATATACGGCGACCCAACTCCGGCACACCAACCCACCCGTCCTGCCACCCACATTGAGCGAATCTTACTGTTCGTACGTTTAGGTACAAGCGATACATATTATTATATTATGATTCAGTAGATGTCCCCCCCAAGTTACCGGATACGGTGTGCAGTTGTTTACCGGTTCCACCGGATCACGTAAACTGTCGTCGTAAGTGCATGAAAAACCAAAACTTACCACATAAACATATTATTATTATTACAGGTCATCCTCACACGAAGATCTCTTCATTCAGAAGACTCTTGTACATGTATATATATTTGTAGACTAACGCGGGTTTACATACCTACTTATGTTTTAGTTGATTTATTGAGTTTTTCTTACCAACGTTCGTAGGTATTTATAATTATTATCCAGTTTAATGTTTAAAAATACACAACACTAAAGTGACATTTTAACGAAGATCGGACTAGTGCCCTGTTATCGACGCTATTTACCAATAATCGACATTTCAATAAACATAATATTATAATACGTTTTATGTACCTATCGAAATTATTTTTCATTTATATTATACAACCTGATACCTATAATCTAAATATATAAACGGACCTATTAACCGCGATTAATGTAATAGGTACATTATAATAATTATTTAAATATATAAGTCGAACCTTCTTCATAATAATAATATATTTCATACAGATCTCGTAATCTTAGTTGATGAGGTTTGTTTTATAGAATTAAAATTATAATTATACAAACGATTGTAACGTACGAACTTCACAGTTGTCTTTTTTCGCATATTATAGAATTGTGTAGCCTAACGCGAATTCGTGTTCAAATAGGATTAAAAATTAACTGCATTCAAGACGGTAATAATTTTCAATTACTTTGCATGGATAGTATTCGTATTTTTTATTTTACTCGAATTCGATTTTGGCCGGTCTTGTAGTTTTCTTTTTTTTGCGCAGCATATTCATATATATATATATATATACACTTTACCCTCTAATGCGAAAACAAGGGTGACCATTAGGGTCGACAAAAATGACAAATGTCCATACAAATCATAGTCGAATACGAGTAATAATTAACCGTGTCCACGAGGGTTGGTCGACGAGGGGTGGGGATAAATTTAATTCTGTAATGGGGTCCGATAAATAGATTAAAATGCCCCTTTGGCCTTAATAAATATTGTCACGTGATCACTGTTTGTATAATTTTAGTATTAAAATTAAATGGACCGAAATCAAATGATAGCGATTTTAAAATGCATCTCTCTATAATATTACATCTGTATAGGGTTACCTATATAATATTCACACACTACTTTTTCCCTACGTGGTTTCACGTCATGACGGATGTAGTGAACTCGTAAATATAGTATAGATTTATGTGTGGTTGTGTGCATATTATGATTATTACAAATTCTTTTTTTTTTTTTTTTTGATACATTGTAAAATATAATATTCAGTTAGTCTGTGTATTATCGTTCAATGATAATGTTTCGATAATAATATTAGGCTCCATATCCTCTGTTCATAAATAATATTATTCATACACATTAATTATTATAGGTACTTAGCTACTATATCGAATGTAATAATGGTTCGTAATGTTTTACCTTTAAATTTAACTTCAATTTAATATTAATCGAGTGTGTCAATATTATATTAATAGTAATGTTTAAGTGTATTTTCTATTGTATAAATATTATTTAATCTAAATATTGTTACTGAAATTAATCGTTATTTAGCGTTTTACTATTTCTTATTTTGTTTTATGTTACATTATGTTTCATATTATGTATCATATAATATATAACCATTAGATACATAACATAATTTATTATTATATCTTCTATTGCTATGCATGCATAGAAAGTCAAGTGTCTGAACTGTTATTCGCTAAATTATTGTTAGTATTGATTAGAAACCCTGCTGATAATATTATATAGAACTATTGAATTAAAATAAATAAAAGTTTAAAAATCTAAATTTGTTATTTTTGTGTATGATGTGTACGATCTGTAAAAAATATTCTATCATTTCCAATCATCCCCATATATTTCCTTTATTTATTTTAAAGAACAGTGTGCCTATATTAGTATATTACTAGTTACTATAGATTAAGGATCTATCGGCGTTATACGATTTCGACGGGGGGGGGGGGGGTGAGATCAAGTATTTGACGACTGAAATATAATTTATACAGACTGTAAGAATGTCGACCCTTCATTTCTTAAAACTATGTGAAGTACCTATACAATTTCCTGGTTTTTCTGTGTAATAGGTACGGTGAGCTAAAATAATTAAAATTTGATAAATACTATACTAAAAAACATTGTAAAAAAAAATTAAAGTTAATAATAACAATATAGGCCTACCACCTACAGCCCACAGATAGGTGTTTGAGATAGCGCCTAGCGATAGCATACCGATGTGGTACTAAAAAAGTTATTATAGGTATTATATATGTATAGAAATCGGCAGTATTTTGATTTCTAAATCAGTAAACTCTTAAATCGTCAAGTACGTATAGTCGAAAAATAAGGAATTCTACTTCCCCGTATTTGTATACTAACACTATTGTGGAGTTAATAGTCATTGATCAAATAATAAATATCGACTTATATTTTAAATTGTTTATAACATATAGTAAACTATGAATAGCGTCATCCTCTGTAATTACCGATTTAGAAATCAAAATACTGCTGACTGCCGATGACCCGTTCTCGTTTTTATTATTAAAATTATAACATAAGAAAATCTAGGAAAACAGTTTTTAACAAGTAGTATAATTTTTGACAGCTCTCCGTTATTAAGAAAATGCCGACTGATAGTTACGAAAAATTCAAAGGGGGGTGTGACGACCCACCATACCCCCATTGCCTCCGGCCCTGGATCTACTTACTAGGATCTTATAATATAGGATTTCAGTAATTTAACACTTTTTGAACTCTAACCCATGAGCTATTTAATTATATTTATACTAGTTAGACACAAGAATAAGGGTTATTATTATTCACATGATATAATAATGAAACTATAAATAAAAAAAACTCTAATATGTAAGTCTTTAAATAGCTTGAAACAAATCAAAACACTTTCAATATACCATTGTGCATAGAATATAAAATTTTTAAGTAAAAGTGAAACATTCCAAGTTTCTATGAATAATATTTTTTTGAATTACAACAATTATTTAAAGCCGTTTGGTAATAAATTGTTATTTTACGAGTGAATAATTCCCATTGTTGTCCAAATTAAAACTTCACTCGTACGTGGCTTTAAACAAAACTTTTCAATTTAAATTCCAGTTAAAAAATATTATATGATGAATTATGTTTTAAATTTACAACAGTCTTAACTGTTAAATAAAAATTTCATTAGGTTTTAACTACTGATTTACTTGTTTTCATGATTCGGGCAAATTTCTTAAAAATCGATTTTGTAAACAATATAATATAGCATAAATATTTCAGTTTTTAGCTAATTTTTTTCACTGGGAATTTTGAACAGTACTTTGAATATCTTACTTTCGATCTCTAAAAGTTCAAACTACTAACTAAATCCAAATTACGTCCTTCAGGAACCAACATCAATAATGAAGCATTTTTTGAATATAACACTAAAAACCTCGAAATACCTAAGAAATTACTCGAAAGACGTTCAACACTGTCATCTGCACTTTAGAAGAAAAACAAATCAATTCTCAGTTCCATCTTATCATGCACCTTTAAATTCAAAAATTGCTTTGTATAATATAGGTACCCATTAATGCCCTTAAATCATAAAGTTGTATACTTACTACACAAGTTACTTTTGTTGCTAATATGGTCTTAGGGAATGTTGTTTGGGGCTTCGCTGAACCTTTCAACTAATAATGTTACGAGGTTTTTAGTCAATAATGTGTCTTCGTATCATGTCTTCGTTTTTTTAAATTAATTTCTTCATTCAAACATAAATAAATACAAATATACGAAAACGAAAATATCGGAATTCATTACCTAGGATTTCACCCAAAACTAAATTCTCAATCAAACCCTCTCATGTCAAAACTGCCAAGATAAATACTCCTGGTATATCCAGATAGACACCTAAACCGAAATTGATCCTGAGATGAACTCAACCTAATAATTAAGGTAATTAATTTAAGGGTATATAAACTGCTGGTTATAAACCCAAGTTATTATTTATTACATTCAACCCCATTGTTGTTTTAATAAATTTACTTTTTGTACATATAAGCCATAAATAGTTTGTAAATATTCACAAATGAAGCTATATATTCAAAAATAAAATCTGGAATGCTCTTGTAGTGAAACTATGACTAAAGGTACTGAGAAACTTGGACAATTACCAATGAAAGTACCGCTGAGATAAGATTTCCTATGTATGAAGGTGAAACACAAAACTTTTGAAGATGTTTAAAAAAAACTTTGTACAAAAAACTCATTATAGGTACCTACTCAGTACTCGCCTTTACTTACTCACTTCACTCAGGATCTAACACAGTGTATTGTATACAATTTACTATGTTGAAAATAGGTGTAATGTAGAAGTTAAGAAATCGAGTTTTTCAAATATAAAATAATCTTATATAGCTCATGCCTCATGGTAGGTACCTTATTATAATTGGCAAATATTACAAATATCAATACGAAACTCCAAAATCTATAAGATTTTATTGTAACAATAAATTAAAACAAGTTGTGAAATCTCACTCTGCGAGAGTGCTAAATTCCAGGTTTCTATATGTATTTTAATAAACTCAACAAATAGTATTATTCTACATGCAATTTATGTACAGTAACTATATATAACACAATAAATAAATAAAAAACAACAATCGTAAATATGTAGGTACTGGTAACTAACGGACGAAAGAACGAATAGACGGACGGACACAACAGGGT